ACAATCCCCATCCATCACAATTTGTTTTTCGAATGAACCATTGGTTGGTTGGCTGGCTGTTGTTTTAGCTGCTGCTTTTGCTGCTGGAGATGCGTATTTCGTGTCGTTTTATGGATAGAGCTGGCCAGGCAGAGCGGCCGAGGGGCGGATGCTGCATTTCCGGGGAAAATTGAGGAAATTGTTTCGGCGCGTTGAAGCCTGGAGGCGGTTATAGTGAGAATTTTGCATTTATAAACTGATTTTTGTGCGCCACAACAATGCTCTTCCCAGCCCGCCCTCAGGAAGTATGAATCTAGCTATTCGCAATTTGGCGCAATGCATTCGCACGATCAAAAATTTGTCGGTCAACTGCATTGCCAGCCACAAATCAACGGTGGGCATCCTTGGCAGCTGGCCCTCACCCACACCGCACCCAACATTCCAGGCTCGTTTTGAATAGCAATTAGTGTGGAACGTCTTTCACTCAATTTGCATTATGGCTGCAAGTAGGAAAGTATGTGTATGTGTGTGTAACCAATTCGTAACTCGTTTGGTTAATGGGCAATCGATAAATTCCAATTTCTCACAATTTTACTGCAATATTCACAAACGGTATAGCAGTTTTATCCACAATTTATATCGCAGTCATCTCATCTGTTACACAAGTGCTCCTCCCGGATGTGGCTGATACGCCTGCCCTCGTTCGTGTGGTCCATTGCTTGTTATAGCCAAGATTTGCATGCAGCTCACACTCACTGCTCACCGCTCACCGCTCACCGCTCACCGCTCACACGCTCACCAATAGATTCAGATTCAGGCAAAAATTTCCCCATGGCGCTTGAGTGTGTGTGGGCTTCTCTACGCCCACGTTACCACGTTAGCTGCATTTCAGGGTAGATACATTACATACGGATATGCTCCATTAATAGTATGTATTCCTTGCATGCACGCCTACTTCTTGCACACACAAAAATTAAATTCAAGTGCCTTTAAAGTACAGATAAAAGTTCACGGCTCTTCTAGAGTTAAAGGTCTTGAATTCTGAATTATTAAAGTCTTGATTTTGATTATATCAAATATTCGATATAGTTTTTGAAGGTTCTCTTCCCGTAGAAACTAAAACCATCAAAATTTGACGTATTGGATAATTTAAACATTTAAAAGGTGCCAATTAGCATATCTAAACATTAACAGCAGGTCAGTTAGTACTTTATAGAAAGTAAAGTTGCATCTATGCAAGAATTTAGCATGCTGTGAGATAATCCCACTATATAATCTGTCATGTGCTGCCTGTGTATGGGGGCACAGGTGCTTCAGATACTGTTTTACACACTGCACTATGGGCCAGGCGGCCCGGATTTGGCCAAAAGGGTCAAAAATGGTTTTAAGAAAATGAGAAAAAAAACAATTGCATTATAAAGAGGATAGATTAAGCTATCTTTCTTCAAAATTTTATTACTCTCTATTCAATGGGTACGAGATGGCAGCTAATCAAAGTGGATATTTGCGTTTAATTTTTTCATTTTATTGGCAAAAATAAAATTTCCTGCCCCTATGCGGGCAGCTATAGTCACATCGAAATGCTTTTAATGTAACTAATACAACCCAAAATTTACAAAAAAAATGTTTTTTATATATTACACTTATTATTTTACAAACAAATTTAAAAAGAACACAGTTTTTAACCCATTTTTCACAAGTTGTGATTTCAAACTTAGGGTACCTCGACGTACCACCTCCGATCAAATTGAAAAAATTTTAAAAATAACTTTGAATATTTCCCTTTTACGTATAAGCTGTCCCAAATTCGCACTCTGAGGTTTTTTATACAAAAATTAAATTTTTAAACTTATATTATTAAAAAAAAGTCTTTATAATACTGCCTAAAGGCAGGCAAGAAATAATATATTGCAAGCATTGACAAGCAAAAGTACAATTTAAAAATTTGTGGCATACTTTTAGTGCCACATTTTACAAGCATCTATAAAAATGATTTTTTGGTGAAAACTTAAAAAAATTATTGGTTTAAAAACTACTTTTTTTTTTGTTTTTGTTGTAATAGAGACCATATTGGAAGTAAAAACAAAAATTGCGGTAGATTGCTTCAAAGACGTTCATGTAATTGAGACTAGAAATTTGAACTTAAGGGGCTTAAAACTAAAAAACTACTGCATTTAATGCAACAAATATATTTTTTTCTAATAAATATTACCTAAATACTCATTTCTGTAAAGTGAGATCCAAATCGAATTGCTGGTTTTTTATTTTCTATGAAAACAAAAAAAAGGAAATATTTTTCAACTTTGGTAGGGATTATCTTCATAAAAAAAATATTTTCTATTACTAATTTTGAACACATAAAATTCAATGTTTTGAGAATGTGCATGCCAAATTTCACGTCTCTAAAAAATTTATTTTAGAAGTTACAGAGTTTTGGCCAAAATATGAACTTCCTGGCCCATAGTGCACTGTAAAGAAATCTGCTACCTAAGCCAATGACACGTGTTAAGCTTTGCTTTGACCTGCTGACGCCAGTCTGCTGGGTGGCATTCTGCCTGACTCAATAGCCACAGCCTTCTGCTGCCCGACCGTAAACGTTGCCATCGAGATATTATTTCGAAACGATATTGGGCAAGCGATAAGTATAATTGCGGCAATAAAAGTTTTCAACATTTGTGCGACACGCTGCTGGCTCTTTTGTACGAACTGCAGTTGCAGCTGCTGCTGTGCATAAAAAAATAAATATGGGACTACCTATGAAGAGTGAATAACGAATACTCTATCAAAATAACCATTCCTTTGGAAGTAAAAATAAGGATATATTAATAATTAATAAAGAAATTAATATGCTCAGTTAAATATAAATAAACAATGGAGCACTAGAAGCAACTACTAAGTTTTTTTAAGAAGTGTGTTCGGTTTGAGATTTAAATGTATTCTCGGGGAAGAACAAGAGATTAAGTTGATTAAATTTAAACGGAGCTTTTCACGATTTTTTGCAATAATCAATTTCAAAAATCAGTTCATAATAATGCGTGGAAGTATAATATCAGACAAAAGCAAAATTACCCAGGGAACTGGCAGGACTAGAACCTAGATGCAGACATACTCATAGAAGCGCATAACAATGCAAACTTTATAACATCCTGGGAGTGGGGGCGTGGCAGCTTCCTTCGCCCAAACACACACACACACAAATAAGCATACGTCAGACAATACGCGAGATACTTGTGTTTGTGGAACGCAGCTGCGTATGCAACGATTTTGGTAACATTGCATTTACCTTTGATTATATCTATCTACTTGTTATTTCCTTGCCATCTCTTTTGTGCTTTTTTACATTCCATTGGGTCTGCGATTTCCTCTTGCTCAACACAATTGTTATTGAAATTGTTTTGGCAATGTTTTTGGCCAACCATAAAATTTTGTTTGCCTAGGATACTTACTTGTGCCACCGAATGAGAAATCGCCTGAGCAGGCATACGCATGGATGGAGAGATTCAGAACGAGAGAGAGCGGAGGGATAGACAATTTGGAAAAGGGGTTAGTACCATTGCCGACATAACGGACCGAGGCAAAATAAAAAGGGATCTAAAGGAGTAGCTCCTAAATTCAAAATGAAATTGGTTAAAAATCCTTTTGTGCAGCATGTGAGAGACGGAAAGACGGAATGGAGAAGCAGGCAGTTAGTTAAATGACCTTCCCGGGGCACCTCATCCGCGATACTCACTTGTCTCACCGGTGGTACAGGTCGCTGGTGCCGAGGGCGGGCCACGTCCGATGTTGTTCACGGCTATCACGTAGAACTCGTACTCCGTATAGGGACTCAATGCACGGACCACGTAGTACATGGTGATGATACCGCTTATCTCGCTGAAGGCCTGGTTGGCGTTCTTCGGCTTGTACTGAATCACATAATACTGCAAGTCCTCGGGACCCTTGTACGACCACTCCAGTCGCACCGAAGTGGCGGTCACCTCGGAAATTTGCACATCGGTGGGTGCCGTTGGTAGGGCTATGAATGGTAAATGGTAGAAAAAATTAACAGTGCATCATTTCAAATGTATCCTATACTTACATTGAACCTTAACCACCGAAACGGAATCGAGTTGCCCCAGAGTGGAAGCGGCTATGCAAGTGTAGTTGGCGCTCTCCTGAATATTTATCAGTTGCAAGACATTTCGTCCTATTGGCATTTCATTCTCAGGTGTAAGATCCTCAGAGCCTAAAGAGAAATAAAGTTGAAACCAATAATTTTAGCTTGATCAAGACTTTTGTTAACTATCAAAAAATACTCACCCTTCATCCATTTGACATGCGGCATGGGCGACCCGACAGCTATGCAGGATAGATTCAGATTGGAGCCAAGCATTACCTCATTGATGGGCTCTGGTGGGCGGGAGAAAGTGGGAGGAACACGGCGAACTTTCACGTACAAGTTGGTTGCCTTGGAGTGTTCGGTGCCAACGGAATTCTCAGCTACACACTCGTACTTTCCTTGATCCTCTTCCCGGCTGTTTTCAATTTGCAGGAATCCTTTAAAGAACAGATAAAAATGTTTTCGTTAGTTCATCGTTAAGAAAAGTAACTTTATTTTGTTAGATAAAATTAACTTAGATGTTGCAAAAACGTTACGTTCGATTTGTATTCTAAACAGGAAAGGGAACCCGAAAATTCTATATCCTTTCTATGAAAATCGGCCATAACTAAGCGAAAAAAGCATCAATTTTCAATCGGAAAACGCTTCTATGCTAGTTTTTATTCAATTTAAAGGCGTACATTACGTATCTTTTAGGTAAAAAAAAAAACAATTTATATGTTCTTTTGGGAAAGCTACCTGAGCAGGTTAATCTAGTGTGGAAAAACCTCAACCCTTTTCTCAAGGAGCCTTCTTAATAAAATACCTTTTGTCAAAGAGATTATTATTTTTAAGACCCACACTACCTGAAACGCCTTATAAGACGCAAGTTCTAGAGTTTCAATATCAGTGCAATTCTAATTCTTGTTGAGAAAATACCATGATGCTGTTCACTGCGCTTTTGTTAACGATTCTAATATATATAGTCGGATGCACAACTTATATAACCTCAAATAATAATGCCGAGCTGCCAGCCTATTCAGATCGTCCGCTCAGCCAACAAATGGAAATGATTGACTTATTGGATTTGGGTGATCGACCGAGACGACGGGCACAGCCCAATATAAATAACGCAGCTTCAAAGTTTCTTCTGGAAGTCTACAATGAGATCAGCGAGGACCAGGAGCCCAAGGAGGTCCTGCATCAACGACACAAACGCTCGCTAGAAGACGACATTTTGATTTCCGAGGAGGATCGCCAAGAAATTGCCAACTGCAATTCCATTCTGACTTTTTCCAGTCGAGTGAAACCACTGGCGCCGTTGGAAAACGATCTGGATCTCCACATAACCTTCAATACGAACGATGTTCCAGCAGATTTGTCTTTGGTTCATGCCGCCTTAAGGATATACAAACATCCCAGTTTGTTCGAGAGGAAAGATAACTTCACGGTCTCTGTCTACAGAAGACTGGACAACCGCCAGGATTTCTCCTACCGGATACTGGGCTCAGTGAACACCACATCTGACCACCGGGGTTGGTTGGAGTTCACTTTAACCGAAACCCTGCGAACGTGGCTGCTCAAGAATGGACAACAAAGAGTTTAAGAATCTCAATTGGCGACTCTCAAATGAGCGCCTTTGCGGCCGGACTGGCTAACCAGGCGACTCGCTCTAGCCTGGAGCCCTTCATAGTGGGCTACTTCAATGGGCCCGAACTCCTGGTAAAGATTCAGAAACTTCGCTTTAAGAGGGAACTGCAGAAGCGTCGGAGTAACAGCCCAGTTCACCCACCACCGCCGCCCGTTGACTTGTACAAACCACCACAGGCCTGCGAACGTCTTAACTTTACGGTGGACTTCAAGGAGCTACAAATGCACAACTGGGTAATTGCTCCGAAAAAGTTCGAGGCTTACTTCTGTGGTGGCGGTTGCAATTTTCCACTGGGCACGAAAATGAATGCCACAAACCATGCGATAGTCCAAACCCTGATGCACCTCAAGCAGCCGCATCTGCCCAAGCCCTGCTGTGTGCCCACGGTTTTGGGTGCCATCACCATTCTGAGGTACCTCAACGAGGACATCATCGACTGACCAAATATCAGAAGTCAGTGGCTAAAGAGTGTGGATGCCATTAGAAGCATATATATTAATTTAGTTTCCTACAATTAAGATTCAATGTAAATAAATAGTTAATGAAATAATAAATCAAATAAACAAACAAAAACAAGACTTGACTTTTTCTTTGGAATGTGATGACTCTTGACTCTTTTTCCTCTGTAAGGTTAAGTTTCTACTAATATGTACAGCCTAGGGGAACCTTGAACGCATTACAATATTGAATATATTCTGTTCCTGTTTATATAGCAAAAACCTTTACGTGTTGCGCTCTTTTATGATGTACCTTAGGGTTATGGGGGACCCGGGCTTACCCGTAATCGAGTCGTAAGATCTTAGATTTATCAATAAATTTGAAAGTCAAATGATGTTTGTTTATCTCACATCACTTTAATAGGCAACCCACACATTATCCTCATTGCCCCATAAAAATGTTCCCAATTCACCTTGCTTTTATGGACGGAATCCATCCCATCCACTTCAGGATGCTCCTCTGCGAGAGAAGCAACACATGGAAAATTAACACTTTTTATATGATTTTAAAAGCTATATAAATTTTACGACAAGTCGCCAACCCCCGTTGCAATCTTTCAGCAGCGTAAAATCCAGACACAGTATAAAGTATAGAGGCTCACTTTTCCGGCGTATTACGCTAATGTGAACGACACAAACGGTGGAGTGTTTTGATATTAGGGGTAGAAAGTGACTTTTGCATAATATTTATATGACTAATAAACAATGAAACATGAGACACCGATGAGTAGACAATGTGAAATTTATGTAAAATCAACTCCTACTTTGTCATTGTCACAGAGCGTTTAAAGCTTCTAGCTTTAAACTTACAATTATTTAAATTACTAAAGTTGTCGCCCACGAAATTGACTTAATATTAAATTGAAGGAGAAGCCAAAAATATATGTTATTGCATTTCTAAACGCTTAAACATCCAAATATGTCAAATTGTTATTCGTTTCTACATATGGGCGTATGCCCGTAATTAATCACATTGAGTTCGATATTCAATTTTCTTTCTCGGACAATTAATGAGCCACCTGGATTCAATCCACACACACAACGCACACAAATATTGTAAAAGTTTAAATTTAAAATATGCGTGAATTATGACAATTAATTTGCGAAACAAGAGACTTTCGTACGTAATATTATCGTTTAATTATTTATTGCATCATTTTGTGCATATATAAGCAGTTAATATTGATCAGGCTTAAACGGAAAGCTTATTTTACAGAATTTTACTCATCATTTAATAAACTACGGTACGATATTTTTAAGCGAAAAGCTTTAAATTTCGCTAAGTATTTCAATAAAACAAGAAAGTTATATACCATTAAGTAGTACTAGTACATTAAGTACTTAGTATATTTAATTAATCAAATTTAATGCTTTAGTGAGAAAGAATTTTCAGACTGAACACTTTAATTTAAATAATGACTTAGTTCTATATTTCCCTTTGGATTTATAGAACCTGATCAGCATGACAATATGCGTTCAGAGTTGTTGTTCAAAACTGTTCAAACACACAAAAAATTGGCAGGCTTGCTATGTATATTCTGTATATTGTTCAACGAGTTCTATGCCCCAGTATTGCTAACGTTCTTGTTTTATTTACCTTTCCCTTGTATTATGGGGTTTCATTCTGTATTTGATACAAGCGGAAAAGGCAACAAAATAAAAGAACACACTGACTAAAAATGATGTATGCTGGAGAGATTGTTGCGCGGTTTTTAGTGCACAGCCATTTGCAGCTGGATGGCTTTTGTGATGTATGTATTGTGTTTTTTGTTTTTTATTTTTTGTTTTTGTTTTTTATTGTTGGGGCTAAGGGCGACGTGAGCTTATTTTTTTATGGTTACCAGCGCTCACCTACAACATGCATCAAAGTTGATTGTTGTGAAATTTATTGCATACTATTTAGCCCGTATAGCTGAATATTTATTACGCTTGTTGCGCTTCCTGCACAGCCTGGTGTCTGGGCCATTGTTTACAAATCGCTGGACCATTTAAACAACAACTATTAAATGTTGAAACATTTTTTGTAAAAATCGACGACTTTAAACATTGACTGCCAAAGAGCCACACTACTAAGTTATTTTAAATATGTTGCAGATCTTAATCTAACAAATATTATTTTGGCAACAATGATGGCGTTTTGAAAACCCAAATTTACATATATGGTTTTGTGAAAGTTTGAAATAAATTGTTGAATACATTTCATAATGATTATCTTGACTTTAAAACAATATTCTATGCAAAACAAGTAGTAAATAAAATAAATAAATAATAAGGATTTTGTTTCAGACCCAAATCTAAACTAGGCAACGGAAACCTAAGAGTATTGCGATAAAATACAGATTAGTAAATAAGTTATACAGGAGAGTAAGTATGTTTAAAGAAATACTTCACAGGACACCACTAGTAAACTTTTTATACCTTGCAAACATATTATAATTTCAATCAGAAGCTTATAACCAAGAAGGAGTTTCCGACCCTATAAACATATATATTCTTGATCAATATCAACGGGCGAGTTATCTAGTCAGGTCTGGTCAAAAAAACCAAATCCAAAAATCCAATTCCAAAAAATTACGTATACGCACAGCTCAAATTATTCCCTTGCTGAGTATTCAAATTTTAGTTAGAATCTTGAAACGCATAGAAGAAATCATTTCCCACCCTATAATTATATATATTCCTAATCAGCATTAACTACAGAATCCATTTTTTTTTTAAATGTTAAAATTTTCAAAAATGTATAAAAACTTTAATTTTTTAAAGTATTTATTGGCAATAGCAGGAAGCTTTCGGAATTAAAGTTAATGCTTCTTGCTCAGTTATAATTTTTTTTTTAAATAATATGTATATTAACTGGAAAAGGATTGTTCAGTTTATCTTTAAAGTAAAAAAGTAACAAGACAGGATTTCATCTCTGACTTTAAACTCTCGATTCCATTCCAGCATACCAAGTTGCGACCAATTCAATCGGAAAAATTGACGGAATCGTTGCCCAAAGTCCAAAGTGGCTCCCGGCAGCTCTGGCTTCCAAATCCGCCAAAGCTTTCTGGCCGCGCGCTAACTGAGCCGAGACAATGCCTGCGGGCTGTGCGGCGGTTAGTTTAAACGTTGCACACATGTGGCACGCCACACAGCTGCACTTCCGCTAGCGCAGTCATTTTCATATTCTGCAACTTCCGCTGGCGCACACAGCCACACAACGGTAGGTAGGGGCAAGGCACAAGGACCTCGCACCCGAGTCCCGATCCTGCGACTTTCGTTACCAAGGCGGTTGACTCGGCTTTGGCTTCGGGTACGGCTTCGGCGACGGCTTCAACTGCTTGGCTGCACGCCCAAATGGGATTATTAATTTAATTATGCCTTAATTTAAGTAGTCGTCGTCGTTGTCGTCGTTACAAAGTGACATTTATGGGGCGACGTGCCCCCACCGCTTTCGCCCAAGTTCATCCACATAAAAGTGTGCAAAGTTTCAATTTTGGTAATGCAAGTGACGACGACTTATCGTCAACGAAAAGAAACCCAACTGACCCCACCGAAGGGGCGGGGTCCTGCCTCCATTACCCTTGAGCCGCCCGTTGGGAAAAGCCGTTCTAGTCATGCACATTTTGGCAATTACTGTCTCATTTTCAACAAAAGTGACTGTCAACTCTTTCGTTAGGCTAAGGAGGCAGGGCAGGGCAGGGCACAGGGCAGGGCAGACGGCAGGGGCAAGTGACAAGGAGAAGCTCATAATTTAAGCATTAAACTTTTCCCAAAATGCTTTCAAGTTGACTTGCCTTAACTACAGTTTTACGGCTCAAGTAAATAATTGCGTGCAGACCCGCGTTTCCCTCAGAGCTCCTCGCCCTGCCCCACAGGTTGGTCACGTCAAGTGGCAAGGCGATTGTAATGATGGAGCCCAGCAATTAAAGAGTTGGAGCGTAGAGAGCGCCGTCACAGCTGCTGCCCCCTTTTCGGTGGCAGCCACGGTGGCAGTGTTGCCACGTGTAAGTTTTGAACAAAGGAAGGCATAAAATGGCATATAAAAAAGCAAACGATGTTGCAAGCTAAGCTTTGCCTAAGTACAACCGACTCAAGGAGGGTCTAAGTTGATTTTAAGTTTTTCTCCATAAAGGTTAACCTGCTGAGCAGCTATATGGCCTCATCGTCATTCCTTGTTTTACGTCCCTGCAATCCCGCGAGCGTTCAAACTCAATATTCAGCTAGTTTGAACTTTAGTATCCACTTAAGGAAACTTCCACTTAATTTTAATTTGGGTTTTAGTGAAAAATATGTTTTCTGGGTTTACCTAACATTATATATATATATTAATTAACCATTTAAGCTAGATTTCTTGTCTTGAACTACTGCCAAGACACAATTCGAAACTTCATGCTCGGGTCCGGCTTTTCAATATTAGCAGTGAATGAAAATTGAAATCAAATATCTATACACAAACGAGTCGTTAAGTTTCCGAAAGTCCCATGACCCTGCTCTTGCACCTGATCAAACAAAGGAAACCATTAACGTTCCCATTGCTTCCTGACACCCCCTTCGCTTGACACTTCAACCGAGTTGAGTTCATCTGCTCACACACAAAACCATTAAGACAATTGGCTCAGGCGAAACCAATTTCTGATAAGCCTCTTTTGCGTAAAAGCCAAATTATGATATTTGAAAAAGACCCAACATTTTTTTACTACCCTTTCCCCACTCCAAATAAGAATTTCAACCCCGAGAAAGTAATTTCCCCAGACGCTGCGGCAGAACCGTTCTAAAAAAATAAAGGAGACGGAAAATAAACCGTGGTCACTCACTACAGCATTGCCTTTTTTACTCCTTCTTTATGTTTTTTATTGAACAAAAGCCCTAAGGGACTACTTGGCGAAATAAAAATAAAGGTATAATACTCAATATTATCGTTGCTGGTCGCTCGCTGTCCTCAACGCTGTTCTAGGGCTATCCTACCCTTTGAATTGACTCTGAGGACTAAATTAACTACCAACGG